GGCACAGCCTAGTTACAGGATTCTAAATTCTCTGTGCACACACAAATTAATTCCATCAGGTATCAGCAATCTTGTCTCAGAAAAAGTCACAGTATCTGTGCTGGTACACACATTAAATGAGAGAGATGACTGAAATGCACTGAGAAGCATAGCTGCCAAAATGGGGTTTACAGCTCAAACATTTATTCCTGCCCTTCACCCCATTTCATTGCATTAAATAGTTGGGAAACCAAACAGGTTAAGAGGCCTTGAACAGAAAGTTTTGTCTTTATTCATAAAAAAGCTCCAGCATATGAACTGGGTGATAAAGAAATGGACTAAACCCCCCTAAATTAAATCATAAACAAGCCTGGGTTGTCTACAGCTGGTTACTAGAAGGGTTGGGGTGCGAGTTCCCCAAGCAATGGAGGGGCTGCAGTTGGTCAAAACACGTTCTTAAAGAAAGATCTGCCAGAGAAATGAGGATCTGGGGTTAGCATCAGGAGGTATCTTTTCTCAAAGCTGTAGAAGGAAAGAACCAGGACAAAACACACAACTATCCTTAATATATTCATTAAATGAGGATGGGTGATTGGTGATTTCATTATAGTCTTCATCAGGTGGGCTGACAGACCAGAAATCATCTGAGACAGACTGAAACAGGGATTAAAAGCAAAAAACCTCTTACCATATTCCTGTTTCTGTCATCTTGCATTTGCAGCTGATGATGATCCAAGATTAAACCTGGAGAGGCTGGGCAGCCTAGGAAGCACTTCCCTGGTACAGTTCCTGCCAGAGCTCTTGGGCACACTGGCTGAAGACAACAAAGGAGGTGAGAATTTACCACAACAGTATATGGAGGAGTGCCCATGGTTTGCATGTCCAGCTTCCACAGGTATTTGGGCCAACTCCTGGGTATTTTCTGGAATACAGCATTATGTGTAGGCAACAGATAGTTGTCATTTAGTGAACTGGGAGCTGGGGGAAACCTGCTGAGCAGCCGTGCCGGCAGCTCAATACTGGCTGGAAAAGTCTCCCAGTCAGTTTAGTAAAACCTCCATACAACAAAACCAGGGCAAGGCAAAAACTGGCCTGGAAGGAGCTAGCAGACAAAACAAGTCTCTTCCAAACCATCAATACTTGCAGGAAGTGCAGAATCAATAGCAATAGATGTTTTTGGTGGCAACAGATGGCTGCTGGAGAGGACAGTACAGCTTGCATCTGCAGAATCCCAGATCCTGTGAGGAGAACTGGCTGTGCTGCAGCAAAAGGGTTTTCTGTTTGGTCTACTGAACATTCCAGACTTGTGCTGGCTCCCATATCATGGCACAAAATGACTTGTGTAGGTTCCTGATTTCTAAATGGTAAAACATTTCATTATGTCTCCCCTCTCCAGGTCTTAGCCCCAGCAGCTACAATGCAAGGGAAAATATCAAAGAGGTAAGTAAATGACCATCTGTCACTGAAACAAGAAAAACAAGACCCCACATTTTAAAACACATGGAATTGTTACTGAGACATCATTTAAGACCCACAGACTTCATGAACAGTATAAACTAATATATGCCACAGTGTTCTTGAAGCTGGAATCATGTAGCAGTTATGTAAGTAGGGGAAGACAGCAAATAATCCAGAGCTTTTCATTCTACTCACCCTGAAAAATTTCTTTACTAAATAAAGGCCAATTTCCAGCTTCCCCAGGCCAGGCCATTAACCAGTATAAGCTGCATGTCATTTCCCCCCCCACACTACAACATAGGCTACACAGTATTATCAGATTAGCTATGAGCCATTAA